CACACACATATTGATTTACTCTTGTACATTTTCACTTCACGGCTTACTTTTCGAGCTGATGATGGGAAATATTTCTGAAACACTTAAGCAGGAAAACCACAAATGCAAATGAAGCTGCTGCAAATTGATCCCAGGACACTGAACATTCAAGGGAAGTCTCGGGAGAGGGGCAGGATTTAGGGCGAAGTGGACGCTGTGTTTTAACAACTGTGAAAGAGCTAATGAGTTCAGGCCATTCCGCCCGAGCTACGATCCAACATGGCCGCCGGGTCAAACTGCTACGGGCTGAAAGGGAAATCCCAGGTCTCGTATAAACAGAAGGGAGTGTCTCTGAGAACGAGAGTCCGGACAATTATTTCACCATATTCCCATGTAATATTGTGTCTGTGTGGTTGTGCTGGCAACAAGAAGGAGGCCCCATGCTGATTTAAAGGAATGGACCGACTGGAATATTTGGACCAGAGACAGAAGGACCAAATCAAATCAGTGATATAACAGGACGTGGTAAGATGGCTCATACCAGACCAGAACTGAAATTAAGCCAAAGATGTTCATTTTGTCTTCGTATGTACTTTAAGTTCTTGGGTTCTTTTTAAAGACAATAAAGTAAAGTGAATTTACCTTGTTGACATGTTTCGGCTGAGCTGCAATCATCTTCAGAATTGTCACTAGTGTTGGTGGTGACGTGTCGTATATCAGCTGTCGTTACTTCCTGAAGACGTGGTCAGCCTGATTCACGTGGCAGAGGAGGAACGCTCCATCATCACTGTTAATAGGAGGCACGGCCAGCATTAACCCTGATGATGGAGTGTACCTCCTTTCACACACCTGAGACACCCTCCTCCAGAGAACACGGGCGAAGGGAGGCGTGGTCAGTCTGAGCGACCTGCCAGGTCAATCAGGTCTGACCACGCCTACAGGAAGTAACAACAGCTGATATACGACCCGTCACCACCAACACCGGTGACAGTTCTGAAGGTGCTTGCAGCTGCAGCCGAAACATGTCAATAAGGTAAATACACTTTACTTTAATGGCCTTTCTGTGTGGAGTTTGCATGTTTCTCCCCGTGTCTGGATGGGTTTCCTCCGGGTGCTCCGGTTTCCCCCATCAACCCAAAACATGCTCCAGGTCCAGAACAGTTGATAGTCAAGGTCAATTAAATACAATCAATTCAATCATTGTGTGTGCTTAGGCAAGACACTTCACCCACATTGCCTAGTGTGTGTGTGTGAGTGATGGCGGTGGTCGGGGGGACAGATGGGGCTGATTGGCATGGCAGCTGCGCCTCTGTCAGTGTGCCCCAGGGCAGCTGTGGCTACAATAGTAGCTTACCATCAACAGGTATAGAGTGAATGAATAATGCTGAACAATGCTCTGTAAAGCTTCTTTGTGACAAAAAATGTCTGTGAAAAGCGCTATATAAATAAAGACAGACTTACTATTTTCTGATCTGTTATAGTGTTGTTTCTTCATCACAAACATACCTGGAGTTATGTTTTGTTTCATTCATTCATTCATTTAATGCACAAAGATCAGCGCTGAAATTGACAGTCTCTGAACAAAAGGTAAAAGGTAGCTGTTAACCTGAAAACTACCACTAGCACTGATGCCTCACAGCAAGAAGGTTCTGCGTTCGATCCCCGGGTCGCCTGGGCCTTTCTGTGTGGAGTTTGCATGTTTCTCCCTGTGTGTGCATGGGTTTCCTCCAGGCGCTCCGGTTTCGCCCATCAACCCAAAACATGCTACAGGTCTCCAGGAAGAAGAGTTGATAGTCAAGGTCAGTTAAATACAATCAATCATTGAATCTGCCCAGGGACTACAGGTGGAAATGAACACTGATGCTACAACCTGGTACAATGCATCTCTCCTGTTAAGGTTAATGTAAAAAATGTGCATTGTCCCTGTCTCATTAAAATAAATAAATAAACATGACATCACAAGTCAGAACAAAGCATTTTGAGCTTTGGAGATGCATACAGCTTAATAATAAAGGATTACTGAAACATGTAACTGCAACAAAACACAACTCCAGGTATGTTTTTGATGAGGTAACACTATTATATCATGACCTAAAGTTTGCATAATACAGGACCTTTAAAGCAAAGCCTCAACAACTATCAGCTACTAAATCCAACCTTTGTTAAATTCAGTTCAGAGAAAAGCAGACATGTTTCCCATTAACAAATGCACAAAGCATTTCCCTCTGCATGCTTTTCAAAAACAAAATAGTCTGTATTTTCGCTAAAATAGGCCAAAATACATCCATGTTTGTTTTGGTTCGTTTGGGTGCTCAGAACGCCCAAACCACAACGCTGACCTGTGATTGGTCCGAACCAATGGTGGCCCGGACAAATTGCAACAGCAGGAGCCTGGCCAGATGGATTCTTGTAAGTTTGTGAACTCACAATTGCCATGGGAATTCTTACTAAACAAATGTAGGTCTAGTTTAAGACAGATTCAGTCATGGTCTAGCCCTGTGGTACTTGGAATAGAAAAATTTGATGAAATGGGAGTTGATGTGAGAAGTTTGAAAATAACTGTACTAGAGTTTGTTGTTCTGTCACCTGGGACAGCAGTAGTAACACTGGGTAGTATCTTTAATATGAGTTCAGTAGGACACAATTGGAAACACATTTTGTTTTGACGGTGATCTCACACTGGCCTTTTCCTCTCTCAGTATGGGGCAGGTTTACACAGCCAGTGTCATCATCATTTTGAAGGATCAGTGTATGCCAGTGACGTGAGGAAATACGTCTGGAGGTTTAGTTTTACTGGCAATAAAATTCTCAACATTTACTATAGAAGTGTGGATTAACATTTTGGACAAGGCCATGACAAATAAGCAGACCTGTTGAAAATGCATAATCTATTGGGACAAATGAACTAGATGAATAGATATAATATTTTCCTGTTTTTCCATTGTCTATTTTTATAGCACACCAATCTATAAATCTTTACTTGTTTATGACATCAACCACACTAAGAATAATACAAGACCATAGATTTATTAAAATATGTTGATCTATTGTTAGCTCAGATGAATCAGCCAATTTGATGGATTAAAATTAGCCATTCTTTGTTTATATGTGCCCAAATATGGTTAGAAAGAAGATTTATGTTTACATACTAGACCCAAATGCGTTATCAGAACCCCTAACCAAATTATTGCCTGAGGAAAGACCTTATCTAAACTAAATCTGGATTTTCATAGACCTCCAGATATGTCTTGGCAGAAAGTCTGTTGCTCTTGACAACAACAACAAGCAGTGTGTCTTGTATCTGGTCATCAGCTAGAAGAAATGAGTCTGTTGCTGCAATTTTACTTACAAAATGTGACAAAAAATATTCAGAACCAGGCGGATATTTGCATGGTTTGAGGTCACACCATCTGTTCTCTGCAACACTATTCCTTCCCGTCTAGGAGAGGTAAGTGGGTATCCTTTGCAATTGGAGACCAGAGACTGTGCGTGCATATAAATGGGCATACATAACCTGGTACACACTGCTATTGAAAAACCATCACCCCTGTATCTGTAACTGCTGCTGTTAGACTCAATATTTTGGTCTTAAACTTTCATATTAACCTGTTCTACATGATCATGGTGTTTTTATTATAATATTTTGTCTATAAATGAAGATATTAGGGGTGTAATGGTACACAAAAATCACGGTTCGGTAAGTACCTTGGTTTATTTGTGTTTATTTAACCAACTATTTGTTTTAACATTATACAAATGGGAAAATAAAATAAATGCAAAGTGCTGTTTGGTAATAATAATAAGTTAAATAAAATATTCTCAAATAAATGTGTATGAAATTTATTAAATATTATTAAAAAAAAATATTCCTTGTAAACGGTAAACACAATTTTCAAAAAGGAACATCCAGCACTAACAGTTCCAGGATGAAAATATGAAGTCTTCATATTTTTGGCGAGAAAAAAACAACTTGTCCACATTGTCTGCAGTAAGTGCAGATCTGCTGGCAGGGAGGAGCGGAGATCCCATACAAAACCCAAGAAGGCGAGACTGTAACTTTTTTGAGGATTCATGTGGTTTGGAGGGACATAGTCAAGGCAATTGTTGTCAAGGCGGTCACCCTAACTATAAAGAGCTGTGGGAAACACTGCCACTCCAAACATGGATGAGTTTGGTTGTGAATATTAAAGAGCTGAGCCTTCTGTGTAGCTGCACATGTAGTGGTAGTGTTCACTTGTGCACAGCCCTGCACCGAACCTAACGTCCTCTACCAAAATGGTTTGGCATGAATACATATATTGTTACACCCCTACAAGATATGAGCATTAATAACAGGTAGATGAGGTGCCTGATTTCCTGGAGTGTTAGCAACAGCCTTGATTGACAGCATTGTTAAGTGCCCACAAGAGACGTTTCCTTATTGTTACTCGTTTATCCCAAATATGGAACTCGACTCCAAATTCACCCCTGTAGCTACTAACCTCATTGAACTTTATTTGACTGAAGCCGAGTCACCTTCTTTATAGTCTATCATATAGTCTATCATAGGGACTAACCAGATCTGAACCAGAAAATGATCTTTTTCTGGTTTCTGTATGTCCACCCTACCTTGCATGTTTCTCATCTTTTTAAGATGATTCATCGGCATCTCTCACTATACATAAATGATTGATTGATTGATTGCATTTATATAGCGCCTTTCAAGATACCCAAAGCGCTTTACAGTTCATTATTGAGTCACTTCACACTCAGCGGTGATAAGCTACTATTGTAGCCACAGCTGCCCTGGGGCAGACTGACGGAAGCGAGGCTGCCAATCTGCGCCATCAGCCCCTCCGACCACCACCATCACTCACGCTCACTCATAATTAGATATAGTGCAACTCTTAACACTCCTTATCATACCCAGTGTTCAGTTAATGTGCATTGTCACTTTCCAAATGGCATTAAAAATACATCCAACACCAGAACCAGGATGCTTGAACCAGGATGCTCACAACATGCATGAGTTATAGACGTACCTCCGTCCTTGGAGCAGAGGTTGATGAGATTGTGCACCGTGTCCATCATCTCCTGCTGTTGCCTCTGGAGGGCGCTGCTGTTCCCAGTGGCTTTGCTCAGCTGTGTCTCTAGCTCCCGGATGACCCCGCTCTGCCTCCCCACCAGGGTCTGCAGACTTCCCTTCTCCTGCTTCAGTGTGTCCAGCTCCTCTCTGTGTCTCTCCTCCATCTCCTGCATCTTCTGCTCCAACAGACTGGAATTCAGGAAAAACACGAAAGGTCAAGGAGAGTTTGTGATTGAAGATGGGAAAGCCCTGAATTATGGCTTGAGTCTTCGCAAATCCTCTGGCACGAGTGTGCTTTTCATCGTCTGAGCGTTTAATAAAGTTTGATATCAGTGATTTACTGATTAAATAACTGGATTTCCATATTTTCGCAGCCAATATACAGTTTGCATTAACATTCCTCGGAGTGGGCATGCTGTGATCGATTTTTGCATACAATTCCAATCAAAATGATGAAGTATGTTCCATTTGTTTTACTTGACTGAGGTTTCCAATCGTATAACCTGGGACATACCACAAACTTTACAGTACCAAGAAATATCTGGTGTTCAATTCAGTTAATGCAATACATGAATGTCTGTTCCTTTACAGTAACACATTTACTTAAGAAACTTTTGGATTAAACTGTATTTGTAACCTTTTAACTTTAAAGGTCCAATGTAGTTGTAGTTTTCAAGGTAACACCTACCTTTAAGCTTTTGGGAATGATCCAAATTATTCTAGTGAAGGTGTGTGAAGTTTAAAACCAAAATGGAGCACTTCTGCCTGAATTACCACATGACAAAACAAGTGTTTTCTGTTTAAGAGAAGAACTCAGCTTAAATATGCAGAATTTGTGTGTTAAATGCGTGTAAATGTAACAAAACACAACTTCAGATATGTTTTTGATGAGGAAACCACATTATAACAGATCAGAAAATGGCTTAATATGGACCATTTAAAGCTGTAAACATGGAAAAGTGTTTGTACACGTCGCTATGTAACATTTTGGGTTGGAGTATTGATGTGACGTTCATGAATAAGCCGCCTCTTTTGAACAGTTCTTTGATTTGAATGTTGAAACCAGACTTCATTTTTTAAAAGAAACTGAATCTTTTTCTTTCTAATTTGTATGCATTTACACAAATTAATGCTGAACCAACACAAGACTCGGTACAGAAGCAGAGCAGGCAACATACAGAAGCAGAGCAGGCAACATGACAGACAAAAAAAACCTATTTGACAACATCTGGTTTTTAAAATGATTACTATCGTAGTGCAACATTTTATTCAGGTCATGCATAATTTCAAAAGGTAAACACACTTCCACTTTACTCCAGTCTTAGCCAAATAAATCTTAGCCTTGGTCATTTCTCTCTGTGATAAGTTTTGTCTTAAAATGAGTTCTCACATTTGCTTCTGTGACGACTCCAGATTCAGATGCCATAAAGGAGCGGAAAGTGGGTTGGATGTATGAGGGTCGTCCAGTCTGGTTTGATTTGACACTTGCTGGAAAGCGATGCAAGTGGCAGAAAAATGAATGCATGTGAATACAGGTTGCCTACCGTTTGATAATCAAGTACCCCAGCTAAAATAACAGCAATTTGGCGAAGTATTTTCCCTAATGCAGTTGACTTGTTAATTGTATGCTAAAATTCCTGTATAGGCTCTGTTCACGTTACGTCACGAACCAGGAAGACGTTTGGAAAGTGCGATTACAACTTCCGGTGGGCTCTAGTCATGGTAGTAAGTCTGACAAAATCTAGGCATAATTAGAAAATGGCCCAGTTTTCTTCATCTACATGTCATTGTAGCATTCCATTATGTTTGACTAATCAACAATTCCAACCATACCTCAGTTTTCATCATTTCCCCACTGACTCACAACTTCGAGCGCAGTGGGTACATGCAGTTAGAAGAGACGAGGGCGCCAAATTCAACATGATTCCAAACAGCACATACGTATACAGTCTTCATTTTACCTCTAATCACAGTTCTCGACTGCACTGGAAGTTGTAATCGCATCTTTCCAGACGTCGTCCGGGTTTGTGACGTAAGCGTGAATAGAGCCAATTGATGAAGAAATTAGCAGCATAACTAAATCTGTCTTTACAATAAAGGCAGCCTCATACCTGAATTTTACAACCATTTGTCTTAAAGATGGTGGAAGCTCAAATCATTAAAGAGATTTTACTTGTATGGGACATTAACTGATTAATTTTTTTAAATTTAATTTTTTTTTTAAAGTTTCACTTTTGTTTTTATGCTGTGGATCTTCCTCTTTTTGCTCCCTGCATTAACTCACTCCCCCTTCAGAGCACTATCACAACACAATCAATGTGCAGATCACTAAGGAAGCCACATCGTGTCAGGTTTGTCAAGTTGCCGTGTACAGTTTTGTATCATGTTTTTGCCTATTTAAGGAGAATTGTCGTGTGGGAGCATGGGTCACGTAGGCTTGTGGGTGGAGCATTGCACAGAATTTTACAGCTAATGGTAAGAAGTAGGGATGTAACAGTAACCCAAATATCGTAGATAGATACTGTATCATCAAAGTTCTCACAATAATATCGTGGACCACCACAAAATATCAAATTACAAGTCTCTTTGCTTAAATTAAGAGTTATGGTGAAGCAATAGCTAAAAAAAAAAGACAAAGGGAACTACATAGACCATGATCCTTTGTGCCGTTTCAATGTAGACTACATGAAAAAATAACTAAAACTTAAAAGTGCTTACAACGTTTTAAAAAGTTTTAGTTCTTTGGATTAAGATTTATCAAGGCATTTTAAGAGGAAAAAGTATCATAATAGCAGTTTTGTTTACCTCCACAAAATAGTTCAATAAATGTCATACTGGGAGATGTATATCGTGAAAATATCATATTGAGAGATTTGAATATTGTCCTAATCTTGAGCCTCCCCACCATATCGTGAGCTTTCCCACAATATCACAATAAATATCGTACCGTGACTTTCATACTGTGACTATATCATACTGTGAGACTTGGACATTGTTACACCCCTAGTAAGGAGGATTTAAAGAGGGCGCGAGAGAGATCGCTAAAATACTCCAGCATGCATGGTTGACATCTAAAACCTCTTCAGGCGTGTGTTTTGATGAGAGAACATTTCAGCACGGTTGAAAGCTCAGTACCCCCTCTTTAAGATATTACATCGCCCTCCTAAACCCTCTTCCTGTAAAAGTTGAGAATGAACTAATGATTTAATGTTTTGGGATACCACAAATCAAACTCGATAACTTTGAGAAAACGTTGAGAAAGCTATAATCCATGGCCATCACCACTTTGTTAGACTTCCCTGCTTTGCTTTCAACTAACTGTAATGGGTCTCTATGGATACGGGCCACAGACCAAACCCATTTAAAACACTACCTCATCTGTGGCCCTCCCAACAGACCTATCACTGCCTTGAATAAGACGTGGAAACTCAAAAACGTAACCAAAATCTGCTCTTTAATTTATTCATTTTGCAACATGGAAAATCCAGGGTCATGTATCTAAATTGACAGACCGAGATAATCCAAGCTTCTGTAATGGATATGGTGGGCTCTGCGGTTCTTGGTAGCAAAGGTTTTGATTTTGTTTACACCACAATGTCTGTTGTAGTTTCATTGCACTATCGTTTAATTATGTGGCTGGTTCCTTAAAGTGGTGCTTCGAAACAGATCATATTTTTCAAAAAGCTCAAACTCTCCTATCAAATTTTTAGGCATTTTTACAGTTTTAAATTGACCCAACGTAAGGATCAATACAAAAGCAGATGAGACTTGTATTATTATCATTATTGTTAAAAGATGCAATGTGTAACCTGCGTAACGTTCTCGTGGATGTTAGTATGCCACTTGCTTGTCTCCATGGAGTTATAATGACATAATACTTAGCCTAGAATGTTCCGCAGTTTAGAATTATCTGCATGGAAACATCACCAGGCTTAAATACAGGTCAATTCTGTGGAGAGGCAACCCTGCTTACACCAACAATGCAGTTTTTTTTAGCATAAAAAACACATGTAATTGAAAAACTGTGTGATAATACTATAGTAATAATGTGGAACATTCCAGGCAAAGCGATAACATACCCACTACCAGAAAAGTTACACAATGGACCTTTAATATTGTAACACAATGCTTAACTTAGTGCATAATTTCCATGGATAATCATTTCACTGTGATTAGTTTGCAGACAAAATGAGTTACCACATCTGTCATTTAAATAAATACAGTATAAAAAGAGACAGTTTTTTGAACGACTCTTTGACATGAACAAATCCAGAAGATTTGGATCCCCTAAGACCTGAAATTCCCATCACTACTATATTTTACCAGTACCGTTTCACAGTGATTGAGGGATTTGAAGGCGTGTTGCGTTTACCTGTTCTTGTCGTGGAGTTTGCTGATCTCGTTGGTCTGGAGCATCAGCTGCTTCTCCAGTTTGTTGGTGGACAGAGAGTTTTCCAGAAGTTGGATTTCAAGCCTCGAAGTCTGATTAAGGACCTGGGAAATGCAGAGTGGAAAAGGATTAATTGTACAAGAAAGGGACAATTGTGAGTTGATGCATCCCTTAGTTACTTTTTTTCTCTGCTTGAACATTAAAAGCTTTACAAATGGCAAAAGGCATTGCAGTATGTCACAAATCTGCTTCATGGATGGATTACAAGTTGCAATTAAAATTGAGCCCTACCAATTTCTCACTAACACTACTGCAACGCTACAGTGCATATTTCTATTACAACGATTTGTAAAGGGAAATTTGTCTCCTGCATTTGATCCATCCTTTAATGCTGCTGGGGCATCTCTTCAGAAGCTGTTGGTGTGCACTCCCACACCCAGGAACCCTGCTCTGTGATCTTGTTGCTAGGCTTGGTCAGTGTTACCTTCGCTGGTGGATTTGACCTATACTGCATGTTTTGGGTTAATGGGGGAAACCTGTGTCCCTAGAAGAAACCCACCCAGACACAGGGAGAACATGCAAACTCCACACAGAAAGGCCTGGGCGATCCAGGGATCAAATCCAGAACCTTCTTGCTGTGAAGTGGGAGTACTAGCCACCACAGAGGTTGTATATAAGGTCCTATATTACACTAAATTGACTCCTGCGAGCTTATTAAAAACATACCCACTGATTTTCATTCACACATTCTATGTAATGCTTTATTATTTGTCTGTTATTATTATTAAGTTCTCCAAAGCTCAGAATATTTTGTTCCACCCTGTGATGTCATGAACAGTTACCTTTAGTTTGTTAGAAATGAGCAATTCCAGGGCTTAAATTAGCAAAATGATTGCAGTGAAGGTATATGGAGTTACAAAACACAGTGGGGCACTTATATTGGTATATGACATCACAAGGTGGAACAGAGTGCCCTCTATTTGAGAGAAGAATATAGGATAAATATGCAGGGTTTGTGAATACATGTAATTTCATCAAATGTTTCACCAACACAGGATGATATCTTTCAGGGATTCAGAATTTCTGACTTTAGCAGAACCCGAAACAAGTAACTTGAAGCTAGTAGTTTGCTGTTTCATTAGCTGACAAAACCCTAGCCTGCCTCAGAAACACATGTTTACAACCGTCTTTATTATATTTGACCAAACCAGACGGACTTTATGGAGGCAGTAAAAGCAGAAAACGCCGTGTCAAAGGACATTTGACCTGGGTTCACCTCTCACAAAGGACCCTAACGACTCCCATTATGCCCAGTATTTTCGATCATTACTGTTTGCTATGGCCCTGTACCTGTGTCTCTACGTCGGTGAGTTTGCGCGTCTGTTCAGCCGTTTGGGACAGGAGATTGGTGCCCATTTCCAACATGGCCGCTGTGTGGTTGTGCACGGCGCTCTGCTGCAGCTGAACCATCTCTGTCTTCATGCTCTCCTTGATGTAATTTTCAATCTGGAAAAAAATACAGAAAATATGAATTGTAGATAGAAAGATATACATTGAAGACAAGTATAGAGCAGAGGTAGGACAGTGACAGATTTACCCATGTAAAGCTACAAAACAAGAGCTTTTTAAGAACTCTATATTGGACTTGAGGACAACAAAGAAGCAGAAATGAAAAATATTATAAACTACAATGAGCAGGCTGTGGTTAGCACTCCTGCCTCACAGCAAAAAGGTCTCATATTTGATTCCTGCACTGTGATGGTTGAGTGAGCTTCCCGTATTAATGGATTTCAGCTTCCTGTTATATGAAAAATTTGGATGACTTTTCTCCAGGGTTTTGAATAGTTGATTTCCGTGGCAACCGTGATCATTTTTCATCATTCTGCACCTACAGATTGGTGGCTTCCTGTATTGAGAATGTTATTAGAATGATTTACAGAAAGATGGAAAAAATTGAAACTGAAATCTCTGGTGTCACTTGATAAGTTTTAGAAAATGATGATTGAGACTTGTGCTTGTTTTTCTTGAGAAATGCAAATGGTTTCATAATGTGATATTATTAGTAATAATTGTGTTGGCTTCTACCATGGCCAGGTCTCTGTTGAAATAGAAGAAGAGGTTTTGAAGCTTTGGGACCTCCTGGTTAAATAAAGGCAAATTATAAACAAATAAAAATTCTCACAGTTAATGGAGAGAGACAGTGTTGCATGTTGATGAAATATCTAAAAAAAAAAGATCCAAAAAATGTTAACTTGATCATTTCGATTAGTGACAAGGCCTTGGACAAGACTCTATTCAAACGGTCATATTAACAATAGACATAACCTGCCCACGTCTTTAAATAGACCTACTTTATGTGTAAAGAATGTTGTGGTGACATCTGAAACCCAGCAATACCAAAACATGAGCAATTGATCCCCACCGAGGCCTGAATTCCCATGAAAAGGACATTCTTTTATAAGGTCGAATAAACAAGTTTGTGAGAGCATTCTGAGATTTATTTTAAATGTTTCAATCTTTGCACTTTTCCCTGGGCCAGTTACGCCTTTTTGATTCATCTGAAAATACAGCATTGTCTAAATTAGCATTGCCCCTGAAACTATTTAATTTGATTTATCTTTCGAAATCCACAAACCTGTTTCTTATTGCCGTACATAATAAATTTACTCTCCACTGGTTTGTCCAGATGTAGGTGGTTAGTTTGTAATGGAGGACACAGAGATGGACCGATTTAGTACTAACTTAACTTATCGTGAAACATTTTGGGCTCTTATCTTTTAAAGCAGACCTATTATGCAAAACCGTCTTTTCAGAGCTTTTAAACACACCATTTACTCACCCAAAGCTGTATTTGGAGTGATTTGTTTAACTGATCTGCCAGAACCACAAGTTTTGAAAATTTTAAGTAGAGTGGATCTGGGTTCTGTACCCTGATTTCAGAGGGTGTTATTACTACTAATCAGAAAGGCTCATAGTTCATTTGCATTAAAAACAAACATGTATGCTTCCACACTAAAATGGAGAAAAGTTTACATAAAGGACTGAGAAACGGTGCAAATTTTTACTGAACCATCAATCGAACTTATCTCAGGTTTATTACTTATCTCAGGTAAAAGAAGTTATATATATACATTGTTCTGAATGTTATGAGAATTTTGAAGAGAAACATGTGATACAGATTAGCAATTGTGATGGAATTGTCTGAACTTTGGACAGAGGTTTTTCACGCACTATGGTCTTGTTCCAGTCCCTTCTGGATTCGATCTGAATGTAGGGAGTTTCTGGTCAAGCAAATGATTTGTGTATGTTTGAGCAATCTTTAATGGCTTATTTTCAAGGCGCTATTTGCTGATAACCCTCGTTTTCACCACCATCACTGTACACCTACTGCTCTCTACTAACGTCATTCTCCAATGTTATTTTCTGGATTGGGCTATCCATCGGCGATGCCAACTTCATCGCTCTTTATTGTGATGGTGTTTACAGCAATGTCAGCTCCCATTGGGCAGTTTTCTAACGCACACTTGTTTCTTTTATGAAGTCATTTAGATGAATATTGAGATATAAATGTCTAACCTATAACATAATGGTCCACAGGTGTCATAGATTATAACCATATAGAAGACAAAAGCAGTGGCGGAGTTAACAATTTGATGGCCCTAGGTGAGCTTGATTTTGTCTTATTGTTAGTTAGTTTTTTTGTATTTTTTTTATATTTATTGTCTGTTTTTCACCATTGTTCTTGAGACACGCACATCTCTATTTGAATTAGGGTGGATTGGAAACTCTTTCATCATGGGCCACATATCTAAACACAGACGAAGCAGAGGGCCAATCGAGGGCCGTAGACCGGTGCTCAACAGTGAATCGTTGAATCATACAGTGAATCATTGTGCCATCAGACTTTATTCATGCAAAAGATCCTGAAAACCACACACTACATATTAAATATTAACTTTATCAAGGTACATTTTCAAAAACTTGCAGTAAAAAGTTCATTTTTAATTCATGCAAGGTCATTTGGGCAAATTCACTAGGAAGCCTGAGGGCCAAGAAAAAATTGTCTGAGGGCCGCATTTGGCTCATGGGCCACAGTTTGGACATGCCTGGATTATGCTATGATTAAGTTCAAATCAAGCTGACGAGTCCATTCTAATGTGAAAGGGGGGATGCTTTTACAGTTAAAATAGATTTTTTAAAGTAAACTATTCTCATTTAATGTCATATTGAGAGAAAATCAAATTGCTCTGAGGCCTCGGCTACTAGTGGCACTGAGGGCAATTGTTTGGGGGCCCCTCCAGGTTCGGGGGCCCTAAACGGCCGCATACTTTTGCCTAATGGTAGCGCCGCCTTTGGACACAGACCTTTGACCTAACAAATAACAAGACTGATCTTTCTCACTTCAATCTGGACCATCTGTGTAATCAGTGCATTATGACCACTACCCTCTATTGTGTCTATGTTAGATTACAATGTTTTGCACTATTTTCTCAACTTGGATATCCAACTCTTCAAAAACATACTTTGTTAATATCATGTTTTGATAAATAAACTCAGCTCGATTTTGTTTTAAGTGGTGATTTGTCCCATGGGAGGCCGGTGGTCTTGGACACACAGCGAGATGATTCAATTATAAGGGTATGGAGGGGGAGTGGAGTGAAGTGGAGGGGGTTAAGGACTTTCTGGAGCACTTTCACTCCGTAAGATGTTTTACTTTGGCTCATCAGTGAGTCGTGACCGCCATGTTTGAGGAATGCAGCAGCCAAACCAAATCAACTTCAAGTCTCTCATGTGTTCATTCTACTTCACCATATTGACAATATAATGAAAATGAGGGAAAATAATTAGATATTTATACTCAAACTAATTGAATAGTGTACTGCATGGAATCATTTAGTAAAACCTTATATATATATAAAGACTACATCCATTTTGTGTCAATGTTTCTGTATCCCCACAACATACATATTAAGAAGTTTATATGTAGGATGCTATATAACCAATAATGTACTGTTTTAGTTTCAGTGTTTACTTTTATTTACTGTTTTTCCAAGCTACTTTTTGACAGACATCCACTCAAATTAATGTAACACCTTCTAAGAGAACCCAAAGTGATTCATCTGCCAATCTGTGCCATCTGCCCCTCCAACCACCATCAACACACACACACCGCATTCATACTCATATTCATACTTTAGAATTAGATTCCGACCTCTATTTGTTTCATGTCTTGACAGTTTGGGCTTCACTCTACTGCCTTCCTCAGATGTGTCTCATGATGTTGCTGTGATGTGTCTGATCTGGTTACAACAGATTTTGCAATGCAAGTGGGGAAACCATTCATAGATTGGGACAATGCTAAGGTCATAGGCAGACAGTACCAAGTAACATCGTTGGATTGAGGAGGCCATCGAGATCTGGAACCTGCTCACCAGACTATAAACTGGGACGAGGGGGTGTACCAGTCTTCTCGTACCTGAGCATAGACTGTGCAAAAAAGTGAACTAAGTGAGTGTGACGTCACCCACAGTGTTCAGCTCCACTCAAATGAAGCTCCCGATGCCACTGTTACTGGAGCGAATTTGAAGCCAGGCTCCATATTTGGAATGATGATTGAGGTTGTTAAATGTGCCCGCTCTTCTCACCGGAAAGCAGGAAGGGGGCTTACTTAGAAACGAAACACACTGTCGTCAATCAAACCTGTCGGGAGTGACCTCAGGGAATGAAGGCATCGGATCAGTCCGTTATTTATGTTCATATCTTGATTTAGGGACAAAATAGCGAAATGAAAAATTCAGGATCATGTAGAGCGGCTTGATATGAACATTTTTAGGCTAAAATGACGAGGGTCACTGCAGCAGTTACAGAGAGACGGGCAACAAGATCCCAAAGTAAGTCAATTGGAGCCAGGATCAGAAGGAGCCGGAAGAGTCACCTCGCGAACTTCCTATTTGCGCGTTAGCTATGTCCATTTATATTTAACATACGGTCTATGCACCAAAGTCATAGTTCTATAGAGAAGTCGTACTGCATATTGCCGGCACTGTCATCCAACTACTTCAAGTAAAAAGACAGCCGCAAAATCTGTTTAAATCATCTGAGCAGACACATCATAGCAACATCATGTGACACTTCTGAGGACGGAGCGGAGCGCAGCCAAAACTGTCAAGGTCTGAAACACATAGAGGTCCGCACATAAGAACCTAAACTATAATCAAAACAGAACACCTAATCAGCGTAATCAGATTAATATGGAAGAAGTGTGTTGCCCAAGGACACAACAGCTGTTTCCACTAGAGTCACCGCTGCCCTACTGATATTCTCCGCTAAGTGCTAATCATACACTGTAAAACAAAAGTGATTTAAAGGATCGACGGTGTTCCTCTTCACTGGACACAGCTCAGTCATGACCGTTAATGTAGCGTCTGCCAGGTCAGATCAGATCAACGTTTCTCAGTTCTGACCTTTTCTTGGCTGAAACGCTTAGGCTAAATGTCCAGTTGTTT